ATGTAGCCAAATTTAGCGCCACATATTAAAAGAATTAATATCCCCAAAAGGCAAAAATTGTTTTGATGCAATATTTTATGAACTCTTCATTCACAAAGAAGAAATAATTTTGAAATGTTTGTGTTTCAATCAAGGTAATGCCTTGTGCCCAAAAAGAGAAAGAGAGAGAGAAAGAATTAAAACTGTCAGATGAATAAAGTTAAGGATCTTTTGTCAAAATGAACCCTTTAACAGTTTGACCCAGATTTTCTTGTTCTTTTATACAGACTCCTTAAAGGTTTGTCATTGAAAAGTATTATTTTAAATATACCCTCGAAAACGGGCTTGCCCATCTTTTTGTTAGAATTCAAAGCTATGGCTAGCCCAGACTTTTATCTTACTATTACCCCAAATGCTCAAATCCACAAGCATCCCTCCAACCTGGGATAATAGATAATGACACTCAATAGCATGCAAAGAACTCTCCTTGATGTTTTGTGATAAAAGCCCTACACTGCTTCTCTAGAAACAAGAAATTTGTTAACAGTTAGAAAGTGAACAGAAGATGAATTAAACCTTTCATTTATAACTCATAAAATGATTAACAAATTAAAGAGAAAAATGCAATTTAGACACTATTCTGCTATCGGGAGGGATTCAGGAACATATGTATGCATGTGTGTTTGTGTATGTGAATATATACGTTCATACATACATATATACATGCATACACGAACACATACGTCCATTCCTTTTTTAATCTGGTCTCGATAACATGAAGATTATCATAATTTATTATACAGATTAATAGGAATAAGATATTAAATAATATTCTTTACAAAATTAATCTACAACTTTATATCATGAATAATTTTAAAAAAATGAGGCCCACTTTCTGACTTTCAATAATTCACCCAGAAATAAGAAGTTATGTTAAAAATTTTATACAAATTTTATTTAAAAGAATATTTCAGGCTGGTGCAAACATTAAAGTTTTCAGACTTTTGTAGTTTGCTTTGTAAATGAAAATATGTGTAAAAAATCATGTCAACATTAAATTAAATGATATTTTAGAGAACTCATTTTACCATATTGTATTATCATCCTCAATCAATATGTTTATAAAATTTGAACTTGATACCTTATTAGGAAGTAGTTTAAAAATGTTTGATAACCTTCTGTTCATAGCGACAAATACCACGAGTGAACTAAATATGTGCTACTTTTATGCAGATATATCGTTCTGTTTGAAAGAGGTCATCAGAAGAATTTTTGCATATTTTTGATTACTTAAGTTACCTAACTACTTATACTCGCTTATTAGATTTTGTAAAAATTATCTCATTTAAAGTATACTTTTGCCTCTCCTACACTTAATGATCTTATCACCATTCTGATAAATAGAAGATTATGAAAACCAAACATTGAGTAGGTACTTACAAAGCTAATAAATGCTATCAAAATACAACTCTTCATATTTGACTAGAATATTTTAGCTCCAGATGGAAAGGAATTTTTGTTAGCTTGCTCTCGTAATCAGTAAGTTTTATACCAATTTTAGTTTTTTTCCCCTTCTCTGTCTCATTTTCAGTTGTTTAAAAGTGCATTAAAAAGTTTTGCTGCTTAAAAATATTCGCCATTTCATGTATTTTGATATTTACATATTTTTACCTTAAGATTTCTTTAAAAAGATATAACTGTATACAATACAGACAGATTTAACATATTTGGATTGTAGCAAAGCACATAATTGTTTATCTGCCCAAGAGGAAGGAAGCTTTCAAAGAAGAATCTGGCTTGAATTCCATGTTACACTTGTAAAAAACCAAAGAAAACTTGGAACCAGCTCGTTCGCTAGGATTTAAACCCTTGTCGAGCTACCTGAGCTCAACGATTTTAGATGCTCTGCTAGTAAGGATCCACAGCCTTATTTAAAATCTTGTTTCAAAATCTTCTATCCTGATTAGTGTGATGGAGGTTGTAGTATGATGGTTAGGATTATTTGAATATAGCAAAGCACACAAGAGCTATCATACTTCATGGAACCCTTTTTGTAGGAAGATGGGTCATGTTGCACATGGAGAAAACTGCAAAACCCAAACAGGCAGGAATTCTGTTAGTTTATTTGGGTTTGAACCAAGGTCGAAATGGCAGTATCCAACAGTCAACCATTTAACCACTGGTGAGGCCGTAAGGGATAAATAAATATTACCGCAGTGTTCTGTATAATATCTAATAAGTAAAATATATTTCATTTCTGAAATAATCTTGAACCCAAATTAAAGTTTCTTTTTATGCTAATGGTTAATACAGTTATGCATCAGTCTTAGTACTTCATTTCTTTCAAACAACATTTTGTTTTCAAACAAGCACATAAACTTGAAATAAATTTATATTGTATTTAAAATAAATAAATGACAGTTAAATTTAGCTTTTAAAGACTACTATTTATTTTCAAAAACTATTAAACATATTAATATTTTTTGCTTATTATTAATTTAAAGAAGTTTTGTATTATTTTAGGTGTATCCGATCCATGTACCAATTACTAATCTTTCGGCTTGTTGATGCGCCTATATTTTGAAACACAATGCCTTATGTGTAGTGTGAATTTAAGCCCATTTTCCTTAGAAATTCCTCCACGGTAATATATTTTTCATTAGGGACATAGATCTCGCATGCTATAACTCCATCAATTTGCAGGATTTTATATATTAGTAATCTGAAAATAATTCCGACAATAATAGTATTGGTAACAGGGAAGAGCTCCACAAGATTCACAGCACTGGTCTATACTCCTCAGAGCAGAACTCAACAATACCAATAGTAGATGACTGTCTAGAAATGAAAATTGAATTTATATGCAAATTTATCACGAACTTTAATAAGCACATAGGTTAATATTATTATTCTGGTTTATATGCGCATATATGTATACTATTAAGTGTATTTAGTAAGTGCACTTTTTTTTAAATGCTCTTGCATTTCCTGAAATTGCATTAGTATACTTCTGTATTTTCAAAATTTAGATTTTCAAATATGGTCTGAACTGTTGACCCACCACTACTTTGGGTTTGGCAGTTAATGGATATACCTTGTGGAGAAATCCTGTTTGATTCCTACCGTAGTCAGGAAATATCTCCATGGTGCACTATTGCTACTGCGTCTGTGCAGATGTTGAAATACAGCCTCAATTAGTGCTAAATTTGATATGTAGTAATATTAAAAGATTAAGTAATCCAGGAAAACTGACAGCTTGAAAATAAATAAAATACATCAGTAAAATTCATCTTTGTGTCCACATATTCATGCCGCAGATTTTTTGCACATCAATATTTATGACCAGAAGAGGGAAGAAATTTTTTTACCAATATTGGAAAAACTGAATAAAGTACATCAGTGTTTGACATATATGAGCGATTCTCCTATCCTAAAATCTTAATTGCTACAGGGACTACCAGGCAAGTTATCTTCGCATGTTGGTTAGATTTCAAATGGAAATGTAAAAAATGTCTTTTTGGGGGGAATGAAAGAAATATTTTCACATTTGAATAGCATTCAGTCACTAATTTAAGAGTTTGCTTATCAAATTGAACTTTTTAATTTTCTATTAAAACTTGTGAAAATTTTCTTGAAATTAATTAAATTACGATTTGCAAACTATTTTATGCTAAAAGGGACAAAATTTCTTGGAGACTGGATATCCTTAGTTTCTTTGCTTGCTCCGATGACCCTAATCATTCAGAAAAAGGCTCAACCTTGGGGCAAAAACTCCCACCTATAGTGCTAATGGTTTAGTGATGAGAGAAAGCCTTGAATAGGAAAAGAGTACCTTGCCCCCATTCTCTTTCAACATTTTGATTTTCCCTTTTCTCAAAATCCAAACATTACAAAAATGAGTTTTAAAAGATACTGAATAATAAAATTGTAAAAAGTGATAAATCTTTTCACTAAAGTTTTATAATTTTATTTAAGTTAAAAATTTTTTGGATTATGTGCTGTTTGTTGAAAGGTAAAATTTTGATTTTAATTTTTCACTGAAGTATTCTATTATTTCACTTAAGTTTTCAATTCCTTAAACAGAATTCTCTTTATTTAAGGTACATGATTCTCATTAGAATTTACTTTTTTTCCTTGCTTTAGGGAAGGGCTAGAATTTTCAGGTGAACTATTATAATTAAAATACATTGAAATGGTTCATCAGCTAATTCTGGATACAGAAAAGCAAGGATTTTTTATCAAAGAGAGATTTCAATTGATTTCAATGTTCCTTCTCCTGACAAAGTGGCACTGAAGTTGATTGATTTCCTCTTCTATTATGTTCATTTTTCTTTCAATTTTATTAATTTTTTTAATTGGGACATTGCTTGTTTGAAGAGTTTTGGTTTTAACATTTTTTTAAAATTATTTATTGTATTTATGGGATTATTTGAAATTTATTCCTTATGAATTTCAATTTTTGGTCTTTGTGAAAAATTGGTTCTAAATTTCTTACTTTGTGTCTTTATGTACATATATGTGAGTGTGTGTAAGAAAATAAATGTTATTGAAACCATATTTTTTAATAAACTTCTGCTATCGCTTTGAAAATGTACAATGATCACTTTACATTTTATAAAACATAAAATCATACAGTACAAAGTCTGTAATCCATTAGCCGGAATGATCTATAATCCGGACCTCAAAGCCACAAACTTTACGTATGCGCGTAGAGAATGCGCATACATTACGTGCATATGCTTTATGCATGCACACGTTGAAAGAAATGTTTAATGAAGTAAACAAATAAATATTAAACTTTTTTTGGTAAATTTTGATACCATTTAGATCATAATTGCTTTTTATTTCATAAATTACGGTTTCACATTTTTAATTGTATAATTTCTGCATGCCATCCCTACCAGATTTAAATTGATGAACTATAATCCGGAAAAAACCTTAATATGGAATCGCCGAGTCCGAATTATGGACTTTGTACTGTATATTCTTTTTCTTATGGTGTTTAAATTACAATCAAATACCTTGCATGATCAAGAGAACTAAGAAGTCCATTATGGCTCCAAGGGTGCTTAGGTGGATGGACTACAGGCTCTCCAGCTTTCACACTGTCACTTAAAACATATATTATTCCTGCAGCTCCAGTAAATGCAACTCCTGTTGCAGCTATAAACTACAAAATAAAAAAATAAATAAATAAATAAAATTTAAAAAAAAAAATTTAGTGCTAGAAAATATACCATACTTTATATTGGGTGTCCAAAGTTTCAAGTGTACGACATTCATAAAATGCTAACTAATACTGAATATTTTATATAAGTAGGCCACATTGTGATATATTCTTAAGTAATACAATAGGAACTGCAAATATTGTTAATTCGAAAGGTTAGATACAAACAGTCATTCACATTATATTTCACTACTACAAAAACAAAGTCCTTTATGTCCACCATTCAGTGATTTACACAACCACTCCTGTATTTTAACATTAAGCACTTTAATTATATTCTTTCGAACTAAATACCTTCTCGTAACAGAGATATTTAATATGTATCGGATACATATTGAAATGAAATCATTGTGTTTGTGAAACATCAAAGCAGTTTGATAATAATACCATACAAAGACTGAGATCCAATATCCGTAATGATATAAAATCTGGACCACAAAGCCAATATCCACACTACAAAAACCAAGTCCTTTATGTCCACCATTCAGTGATTTACATAACCACTCCTGTATTTTAACATTAAGCACTTTAACTATATTGTTTCGAACTAAATACCTTCTCGTAACAGAGATATTTAATATGTATCGGATACATATTGAAATGAAATCATTATGTTTGTGAAACATCAAAGCAGTTTGATAATAATACCGTACAAAGACCGAGATCCAATATCCGTAATGATATAAAATCTGGACCACAAAGCCATTACCAACCACTTTTTTTGTGTGTGTACGTGGAAGTGTGTATGCTTTACAGATGCATATTTGACTTCCCAAAATAGTAAAACATGTGGAGAGTCAACTGATTCTTAATTTCACTTCGGTACTAAATAAAGTATCTTGTTAATGAAGAAATCATTATAGCAGCATAAAAATGTGTGATCAATACTTTGGCTCCGTAGCTGCATATCTGCTTGGCATAATTTCAAATAAAACATTCTATATAGAAACACTGTTGACTTTACACCTACGAATATTTTATACCCCTGGCGTCAACCTGGCGAATCGTTACTTTCTATATTTTGCTTTCATCACACATGACAACTTGAGTCATGCAGTGATGCTTAAACATTTTTATATTAGTAACTGAATAACGCAAAGAGTGTGGTAACCTTTTATACTGACATTACACTTGGGGATGATTACAGATTTAATTTAAATGCATTAAGCAATTAAGACACAATAACCTGCCGAATAAATACTAATTCAGAAGTCAAACAACAAAAATCAGTGTTATAATTATTAATTATAATGCTGAATTAGCATTAAGCAATGTTGAGGAGAAAAAAATTTAACAAAAATTTCTTTCACTATGGTAAAAATAGATTTTGTTAATGATACTCATAAGCAAAAAGAGTAGATCGTGTTGTTTGAATTAAGAATAAAAACACTAAATCGTGTTGTTTGAATTAAGAATAAAAACACTAAATCGTGTTGTTTGAATTAAGAATAACTGATTTCCTATTTACATAAACCCAGAACTGGTGCCAGAGCTCATATGGCTACACTGAGACAAGATTTTTGGAATTTAGAGAAGCGGCGAGCAACAATATTAAGGGATGAAAATATTTTTGGAATTTAGGGACCCAAAGCTTAGAACTTAGGGAGGCACTCAGTAGAAGAATTTAGAATGCGCAAACATATCTAGATATCTAGCACCAGCCCTCGATAAACCTTTTGTATATGTGGGAATTTATTTATTGAGAACTCAGATAAGCCTGAAGCATGTGCAATAAATATATGTAAATATAATAAATAAGTAAACTAATACAATTTAGGCTTAAATTCTCTCGGTGCACAATAGAAGCAAGACAAAATTTAGTAGAACAACTTGTTTTCCATCGCCAATCTCATGATACATAACCAGTAATGTATAGCAGACACTATTAAGCATGGCTAAAACTATACTGATTCCAAGGAATTTCAGTTAACATAGCAGACTGTGTTATTTCTTAAATTTCTGATTTGATCTAGCTTATTATTTTTTGTGGGCTGTTATTCTTACAGAAGTTTTATGAAAATTAAAGTTTGAACTTTCGATTATGTTGAAAAGAGTTTCTCATTCTAGAGCTGCAACATAACCTACAAAGCAAAAGTACGTTTCAATGTCCATTAAAAAGTATAATTGCCACAAAAATGGATAAATGTGTATCAGTCTCAAAATACGCGAGGAGTATGGCATTATAAAGTTAACTGTATTAGACATAAGAAAACAGAAAAAAGGAACTTTTTGAATTTTTGGTGGATTTTAACACCCCACTTCTGCAATGAATAACAGAAAAATTATTCATTATGCTGACAGTGATGATCATGACAAAATGATGACTAGATGTGTCAGAAAGTGTCGCAGCAAAGGCATGCCATTGATGTGTTCAATTTTAGCTCAAGCCAAAATATTTCATAAAGAAATGAACTTAAAAAACTGAATGCACATATTTGACAAGTTTGTTAACCAAATTCAAAAATTGCCATGGTATGAGGCAATTAAAAATTTCAGGTGAGAAAGCTTCAGCTGATACTGAAGCTGCTGAATTATTTGCAGATGAATTCAGTGAACTCTTTAATAGTAAAAAATGATCTCCAGAACAAATTTACAACACTGAGGAAACTTTTCTTTCTCTGGCAATAGGTAACGTGAAATACGTTAGCAACTCTACAGAAAAGGTTCCAACTGGTGTCAAAGATTCCAAAGCGAGATTAATAATTTTAGCATGCAGGAACGCACGAGTGTAAACTTTTCATGATCGCAAAAAATGCATGACCCCTAGTCTTTAAAGGAGTAAAGATTTCCTCCATTATATATCATGCAAATAAAGGAACATGGATGACACAAGCGTTAATGAATGATTGGTTCGAAAATCATCTCAGACCTGAGGCTTGGCAACATCCGAATTTGGTTGATTTACCAGACTTCACAAAAATTGTCCTGATTATAGACAACTGTTCAGCTCATACTTTATTTAAAGTTTTTAACGAAAAATGATGTATCCATATTATTCTTTCCTCAAAATCATATGTTCATCATTCAGCCTATGAATATCAGAATATTTGCATTTCTGTGCATGCACAGAAATGCAAATATAAAGCAGCATTTTTAAAATCCATGTTAAATTTCTTGAATAATGGCAAGACTATTCAAGAATTTTAAAGATATTTAAGCATGAAATACGCTGTGTGGAGCATCATAAGATCATGCGAGGATGTGACTCCACATACTTTAAAAAATGCTTGGCATAATTTATGGCCAAAAGCTATCGTATTTCATGGTAAGGTTGATGAAGATGATAGCCGCGAATTTGAAGGTTTTCGGATATCACAAACCAAAGTTGAAATTTTCCAATTAATATATTTTGTAAAGAAATGTGGAAAAATGGTAATAAATAAAGATGATATAAAAGTTATTCATTTTGATGACATTGCCCCAATCATCAACCAATCAATGGATAGCAAAATTTGTACAGTGCAAAGTCTTTAATCCGGACTCGTCAGGACTTCGGCGATTCCAGATTAGGGGTTTTTTCCAGATTATAAATCATCAATTTAAATCTGGTAAGATGGCATGCAGAAATTATAAAATTAAAAATATGAAACCGTAATTTATGAAATAAAGAACAATTATGATCAAAAGGGTATCAAAATTACAGAAAAAAAAAAAAAAAAAAAAAAAAAAAAGCTTAATATTTATTTGTTTACTTTATTAAACATCTCTTTCAATGTAAGTTGTTTAAGTTGCTTCGTTTTTTGTGCTAATACTTTCTATTTAATTCTATAAACAGACAATTTCTTGTTCAAAGTTCCGCTGTTCAAGTCCTGTAATTGTGTGCCGAGAATACCGACTAACTTGTGAATCGAAAAAAATTTTTTTTTCATTAACCTCTCAATCACTTTCTTCATGCCTTTATCCATTTTTTGCAGCAATTCCACTTTTTGTGTGATGGACATTGAAACATGCTTTCGCTTTGTAGATCCTTTGGCAGATCCAGAATCGGAAACTCTTTTTGCCATAATCAAAAGTTCAAGCTTACTTTTTATAAAATTGCTCTAACAGTCTGCAAAAAATAATAAGCCAGATCCAATTGGAAGATTAAGGAACAATGCAATCTGCAACACTGTAGTATGTTTCTAGATCCAGAAGATACGACTAGCGATAGTGAAGAAAGTGACAGAGGCTACTGAAAATGAAAAAAATTTCGATTGACAAGTTAGTCGGAATTCTCGACACTGCAATTTCAGGACTTGAACAATGGAACTTTAACTGAACAAGAAATTATGTTTGTCTACAGAATTAAAGAGAAAGTATTAGCACAAAAAAATGAAGCAACTTAAAAAGAAACCTAAACTGAGAGACTCGCCCCTTCCTGCATGCCTTCGTGGTGTAATGGTAGCGCATTCAGCACGTATTCGAGAGGTCTAGGTTCTAGTCCTGGCAAGGGCACTGCCCATTTTTCACATCTCCTACTTCAAAAAAACTTCATGACGCTATAGTTGTGCCTGAACAAAAAGATGGTGGACAATAATTTGTCACCACCAGGATTTGATGACTGGGGATTAGGAGACCCAATCGCCCTTTAAAAGGGGGAGTATATGAGGTATTTTCTCCCTCCTTCCTACATGCCTTCATGGTGTAACAGTAACGCACTCTGCATGAATTCGAGAGGTCCAGGTTCTTGTTCCGTTGAGGACACTGCACTTTTAAAAAAGCCTAATGACTCTACAAAGTAAAGAGATAAATATTAAGGAGATTTTTTTTTTTTTTGTAAATTTTGATACCCTTTAGATTATAAATGCTTCATTATTTCACAAATCATGATTTCATATTTTTTAATTTTATAATTTCTACATGCCATCTTACTGAATTTAAACTGATGATCTAATATCCGGAAAAATCCCAAATCCAGAATCGCCGAAGTCCCGATGAGTCTGAATCTCGAAATTTGTACAGTA